AGGCAGAGCAAGGCCGTGTGCATCACATGTCATCTGAAGCAGAGTGAAATGTAAGCCTCACAGAGAGGGCACCAATCAGTCCTGCCTGATGCTCTACCCAGGGCCTAGGACAGTGCCTGGCATACAGAAGGTGCTCAATGAATGTCTGATGAGTGAAGGAACTTCCATGGGTCATTCCAAGCTGTTTTCGGACCAACCACCTTGTCCCAGCACTGTCTCTTGGTTCCATCTCAGTGACTTTGGTTAGGCTCTCCTGATGTTCATCTCTCCCGGGGAGTGGTGGAGGCTGAGGGACAGCGTTCCCATTAAACAGTGGATAAATTAGGGCCTGGAAATCTCCTGGAGTCTTTAACTGACTGTTGAGATAAAGTTCTAGATAAACGCAGAGCGAGTGCTGGGAGATGGAAGAACCAGGTGCTCCAAGGGGTCTCCGGCAACCCCTCCCATCCCTGCCCCTTCCTCGGGGGAATTAATTGGCATCAAGAGAGGATTTTAGGAAATGGCCGTGTTTAAAAGGCCCCTGCTTAATGTTCCCTTAAATTAGAATGGGTTTCACTTGACAAGATGTCTGCTGACCCGCAAGGAGAGGGCAACCCCTGCCCGAGTGAATGCCCATTGACCCAGGAACCCCTGCATCTTAGCTTTGCCCCGTTCGTGGGCTCACTTAGCAGAGTTCAAAAGAATGCCTTTTTCTGCAGCAAAACAACAGCCAGAGCCCCGAGAGTCACTCCCCTCGGTTCAGGCACCTCTGTGGGAACCTGGACCTGGGACATTCCTCTGGAAAGAAGAATGTGCACGTGGGGGACAGATGGGTCCCTGCCAAGTCCAGTCATTCAACAGGCTCAACAGGCAGAGCCTGAGCCCAAGGGAGGACAGACTCCGGCTGGGTCTGCAGATAGAGAAGTGGGCAGGGTAGGCATGCACCTGCCTCAGGGTGCTCTGAGTTCGGGGGTGGTCCCGTGAGCTGGCGGCTGGGCAGAGAGGCACATGATGGGAAAGGACAAGGGCTGGGGGAGCCCAGAGGAGGCACCCGATCCCACCCAGGGCAGAGCAAAATCTTCCCAAGGAAAGTCCTATCTAAGGTGGGACCTGGAGCTAGTCTGGACGAGCGAGGCTCTGCTGCAGTAACAACACAAGCCTCGGTGTCTTAACACAACAAGGATCTGTTCTTTACTCTGTCAGGGGTCAGCGAGGGTCTTCACAGTAGGTCTCCTCTGGTGGTGACACGGGGATACAGGCTGCCTCCAACCCAGCTCTGCCTCAGACTGGAAGTGACCTGGAGACACTGGGGTCCAAGGTGTCAGGGAGGCTGGGGAAGGGGGAGGCGGCAGAGTGGGACCCACAGAGCAGAAGGTCGAGGAGGAGTTACCCAGGGAAGTGTATGTGTGTGGCCGGGGGTCGGGGTGGGGGGGAGAAGAAGGTTCCAGGCAGAGGAAACTACATGTGCAGGAACCTAGAAGCGGGAGAGAGGTGGAGAAGCACCAGAAGTTCAAGCCCATTTCAGCCACACCTGAGTTGATGTTAATGCGATGATTTCAGGAAAGTCCCTAGACAGCCTCAGGTGGGGGCTGGTTGCCACGGGAACCAACCATGAGACTACTGTTTCCCCCGAAAATAAGACCTAATCGGAAAACAAGCCCTCACGTGATTTTTCAGGATGCTCGGCGATATAAGCCCCACCCCAAACATAAGCCCCAGTTAAGATCGTCAGCCAGACATGACTATTTGAATAAATATAGATTTTTATACATGAATAAATGAGTAAATGTAGATTGTTGGGGCAAAAATTAATATAAGACGCAGTCTTCTTTTCGGGGAAACGCGGTAGAGGGTTGGGACTTTCAGCCCCCACCCCCAATCTCCCAGGAGAGGTTGACTTCATCACCAATGGCCAATGACTCAATCGTGCCTATAATGAAGCCCCCATAAAAAATAAAAACAAACCCAAACTCGAGGTCAGGGAGCAACCTAGTTGGTGAGCATGTGGGGAGAACGGCACACCTGGAGAGGGCAGGGAAGCTCACCCCCCCCACACACACACACACACCTTGCCCTGTGTGTCTCTTCCATCTGACTGTTCCTGGCATATCCTTTTCAGCAGCGGTTCTCCACCTTTCACAGGGGTTGCCTAAGACCATCGGAAAACACATATTTTTGATGGTCTTAGGAACCGAGACACCGCTCCTCTATCCGTCTCCAGGCCCACACGCAGATATGCCCACATACGAGTACCTGGCGACCCCTGTGAAAAGGTCGTTCGACTCCCAAAGGGGTCATGACCCACAGGTTGAGAACCACTGCTTTTCAGTAAACCAGTAATCTAGTAGCTAAACTGTTTTTCCTGAGTTCTGCTGAGCAGTTCTAGCAATTCTCAAACCCCAGGGAGGGGTCGTGGGAACCTCTGATTTATAGCCAGTGGTCAGAAGCACAGGTGATAACCTGAACTTGCAATTGGTGTCTGAAGTGAGGGCACTCGTGTGGGACTGAGCCCTTCACCCGTGGGGTCTGGGCTAACTCCAGGGAGACAGTGTCAGAATTGAATTAAATTGTAGGACTGCCAGCTGGTATCTGGAAAATCTGAGAATTGCTTGGTGTGGGGGGAAACCCACAGGTTTGGTGGCTAGAAATGCCTTATTGAGCGTCATAAGAGTACAGGGATTTTCCTGTACGTTCAATGTTTTCCTCATTTGACTCACTTAGGTCAAGTGGTAGGGAGGCCCTCTGAGGAGGAACCCTTTAAGATGAGGCCTGAAGGATGAGAAGGAGCCAGCAATGGAAGAAACGGAGCAAAGGGCATTCTAGGCAGAGAGAACGGCAAGTGCAAAGGCCCTGGGGCTGTAAAGCATCCGGGTTGTTGGAAGTACTGGAAGGAACACCATGAGGCTGACGTGCCCAGAGCCAGGAAGACGTGCATCCAGGGAAGTTCTGATTGGATGGTAAGTACAGGCAAGGAGAGTACCGAGGTCTCCAAGAAATGGTGATGTCAGTCTCTCTAGGACAGCGGTGGTGAGATGAAATCGACAGATACCAAAGAAGGGAGAAGCAAGGGTGAGCGTCTCGGCGTGGGCAGTGTGCCAGGAGGGTCTGGCCTGAGGCCCTGGGTAGACAGTGGTGCATTTGCTGAGCAGATAAGGCAAAGTCAAGGGCAGGGGGCCAGGAGGCTGAAACCCATAGCCCATGGGGAGCGTGCCAGGTACGCAGCACCCACAAGCCACCCAAGTGGGAATGAAGGTAGAGGGTCAGATACGCATTGCTTAGGGGAGTGGGCTGGCCGACGTCTGGAAGAAGCTCCCCACTCTGGAAAGATGACTTCCCCAGCCCCCCACACCTAAGTGGGGGGTGGGAGAAAAGGAATAAACAGGCTATTTATTAAAGGTTGGGTGAGGGTCTCCCCATGTTACAGACAAAGGCACCAAGGCTCAGAAAGGAGAACAGAGTCAGGAAGGCTCACGGGGTATTTAGAGATGCCAAGCACGCCCCCAGTCTCAGCTTGGTTCAATCCACAATAACCCAAGAATATGGTGGGATAATAATGATTATCTCCATTTTACAGATGGGGAAACTGAGGCACAGGGCAATTCATCGAGGTCCCCATGGTCACCTAAGGAGCTAATGGCTAACCTGAGGTTTAATCTGAGCCATCTGACCCCACAGCCCCCGTTCTCACCTCCAAGTGACTTGTCTGAGGTCACACAAGCCACCGGACTGGGCACAAAGCCGGCTGTCCTGAGTCAGGCTCCCACACCCTCTCCGGGGGGGGGGGGGGGGGGGGAGAATTCCAGAACTCTTAGCCACCGGAGGAGCCATCAGCACTTATCTAGAATGACACTGTGGGTGAAGAAAATTTGAGTCTCATTCTGCCCCTGCTATCGTTTTCATGGGCATTTCTGGGCATAAGACATCTCAGCTTGGCCCCCAGTTCTTATCGATGAAATTACCAGGCATGGAATGTGGGACCGACCGCCTTCTCTCAGAGGACAGGTGGTAATGACAGTACCCCATGCTGCCATGTTGAAACTACAGACCAGCCACCACTCCTGCCCCCTGCTGAGTGGCAGAGTGGTCAGGCCGGGGTCAAGGCAAATGGGGATCACCTCTTCTGGCCTGGAGGTCAGATCAGGAAAAGTCTGCACCCCACCATTTGAAGTATGGTCATCACATTGGACCCCAACAGCTGTCCTGTGAGTGAGTCACCATCCCTATTCTGTAGATGAGGAAATGGGGGCTCAGGGAGGCGAGCCACCTGCCTGAGGCCACCCCGCCCACAAGTGGCAGAACCAGGACACAAACCCCAACATTTGGACTCCAGTCATTTCTTCCACAGATACATCTTGTGTCAGGCTTACTCAGGGCCAAGCTGGGGGCTGGGAGTACACAGACTAATAAGACTTCATGCCCGACCCAGCGATCTCACGGTCAGGGGAAAGAGCAGAAGTAAAGACACCGTCACTGGCGTGTGACTCAGCCTCAAAGAGGAAGGGAGCCCTGACACCCACTAGAGCGTGGAGGGACCTGGAGGACACTGCTGAGCGAAATGAGCCAGACACAGAGGGACAAATCCTGTGTGATTCCATTTAGATGAGTGACAGGAAGAACTGTGGGTGCCAGGCTCAGGGAGAGAGAGATTTGGGGGGGGGGGGCTGCTATTCAACAGGGATAGAGTTTCAGTGTAGAAATAGGAAACTATCCTGAAGGTTGGTTGCACAACAACGTGAATGTGCTTAACCACTACTGAACTGCACACTTAAAAATGATTAAATGGTAAATTCAATGTTATGTGTATTTTATCACAATGAAAAATTTTGTAATTAAAAAAACAAAAACACCATTCAAATCATTTATTGGTTCTATAGCAGTGACTGAGAGCCCACAGTGCCCACGTCAGTACTGGGCCAGGTGTGTGTGTGTGTGTGTGTGTGTGTGTGTGTGTGTGTGTGCATGTGCACGTGTGCATGTGTGTTCACATGAGTGTGTGCATGCATCTGTTTAAGTGTGCATGTGTGTGCATGTGCATCAGACGTAAGAGGGGTATAAGAAGGTGCCCCTGCTTGCAGGGTGCTGCCACGGCAGGCAGGAGGCCCGAGGCCCACCATGCACACAGCTGCCTGGGGAGGCCAGGCCCAGAGCAGGGGGCTTTACACTCACATCCCATTCGGTTCTTGGACACACTGCACCAGTGCAACACGGGTGTCCTGGTCCCAGTGAGTGGGGACTCTCTCCCACGCTCTCACATTAGCCAGGCTGGTCACTCGTCCAGGGTGTGCTTGGGAGAAAGCCCAGCGCTGCTGTGGTTACTGGAATGCCGCACTCATGACAAATGAATCTGGACAAACATTTCACACCGCCTTTCTCACATTCCAATGGGAAAATGACAAGGAATGTGGACCGCTCCTCCCTAGGGCGGCTGGTGAAGGACGGGGCCCTTCCCTTATCTTGACTGGAAGTTTTGTTTTCCTTTTATCAAAAAGGTGTTATCAGAGCTGCTTAAACAAGAAAGAAATGTGCCACTGAAAATGGGGAGGGGACATAGCCAAGTAGAGAAAAGGAGGCCTGGGAGCACGAAAAACCGCAACAAGAAACCATTTTTTATCAACCTGGCGTTCAGTCATCACAGCACCCTTTCACCCTAAGTACAATCAGACACAATTAGATAGTACTCTCTGCACGTGACCATTAATTGGGGCACCGATGCTGTTATTCGCTGTGGGCCTTTCGTTGCTACAGCGACTCAGCAAACAGGTGCTGGTGTGACTCTTCACACTCTATGAGACATGGACAAGTTGGTTACCTCATCCAAGGTCATGCAGCTAATAAAGGGCAGACCCAAGCCCCGCTTGCCAGCCCCACGCCCTGTGACCCCCCCAGGAAAACAAGAGCTGGCATGACTGGCGGGGGAGCTGCAAGGCCAGCGACTGAAAGTGTTCACTTTTAACCAGTGTGGCTTTTGCCACGTCCCCCGGAATTAACACCGGACTTGCTGGTGCCCATGTGCGACCTCAGGTCTGCAGCAGGGATTGGAGGGAATGGGTGGGTGTAGGGTTACATCAGTGGGAGAACAGAGGACGACTCAGTGGGTGAGCAGATAGACCGCTGAAGAGACGGAAAGATGGTGCCTGCGTGCTCAGGTGGCGGGCGGATTACTGGACGGGATGGCTGGATATGTCTGGGTGGACGACGGTGCATGGTGGCTAACAGGGCGGCTATGTGGATGGGCAGGTCCAGAAGTAGGTGGGGGGCGGGATGAGTGAGTGGGCAGGGCTGTTCTCAGGGCACAGGAACCACGCTGGGAAGTGGCTCTGACTACCTATTTCTGCAGCCAGCAGCCAGGAGAGAGGAGGAGGTTGGCTGAGGCAGGACTTGGTCAGAGACCTGCCCTCAGAGGACAGGTCACTCCTGAGCCCCTGCCATGTGGCCACAATGTCCTTGGCTCCTGCCCTTGAGAATCTGGAGTCGGAGAGGTGAGAGGAGCCGTAGGAGTTGTGCTGTTCTCATGGTGGGAGATCCAGAGGGGAGCCTCACCTGGGGCCACACAGCCAGGACCAACGCCGGGGAGTCACCGCCTGCCCACTTCTTGGTTCTGGCCGTAACCTGGGCTCCAGCAGCTGATGCTGGCCCCAAAATCTAGCCTGAGCTGTGCCCCCTCGATCCAGCCTAACTTTCATAACGATGGGCTCTGAGGAGGCCCCAGACTGGGTACAGTGGTGACCCAGGGCCGCTGCCCCATTTGGGGAGACCAGCTGTGGTGGGGTCCCTGTGAGGCAGCTGTGTGGCCGTTTCCAGAGTTTCCCTTCTCTGAGGCCCGAAGGCCCGGTGACCCTTAAAGCCCCAGGGAGGGAACCTCTTTCCCCAGGGGAATGAAGTGACACCTGAAGACCCAGCGACAGCTCCAATCATTCAGCTGGCTCTACCTGCACACCTACTATGTGCCAGGCACTGTGCTGGGTGCTGATGGCAGGGAGGCCCTTGTCTGTATCCCTGGGAGCCCTGAGCTTGCATGCAGCAGACACGCAATCCATGGAACTCAAGGAAAGGGAGCTCCAGCCCAGGCACATTTCTCAGAGTGCCTCTGGGAGAGGTGGCCCACGTGTGGCTGTAGCCTGGGGGTCCCTTTGGAAGTGGATGCTCATGGGCGGTAGAGGTGCCTCAGTTACCCTGACTTCAAGCGAAATCCCTCACCACCATAGGCCAGAGGTCACCGGAAGTAGCAGCAACACGAAATTGGGGAACAGGACGTGTGTCCTCCGGTGCCTGGACCCCACGGCTGCGTGTGCTGTCCTATCACCTTCCATCATATTCTACAGAGGCCAGTTAAGGGATGCACTGGCCCATTCTGCAGATAAAACCCTAGTCAGTACTCACGGTGGACTCTTGCTGTCACATGGGCACCAGGAACCCCACGGGCCGTCAACCTCACTACATTCTCATCCCAGCCCCCGGCAGTATGACTGGCACCCAGTAGAGGTTCAGCACAGATTTGCTGAGTGAATACATGACAAGGCTAAAAAGCACGGACTTTGGAACCAGAGGAACCTGAGTCCAAATCCTGACTTTTCTTGTTATCGTCTGTGTGACCCAAGGGAAGTCACTTAACCTCTCTCTGCGTCTCAGGTTCCTCTGCTGTGAAATGAAGATCACAGTGTTAACTTAGTAGGGTCGCTCTAAGGTTTCGGGGAGATGCTGCTGCAAAATGCAACAGCGGGGTAGGTGCTCCTCAGACCTGGGCCTGCTGGCCCCTCCCCGGGGCAGTGGGGTTCCGGGCTCACCTGTAGGTGGCTCAGGCTCTGCCTTCCTCACAGCCCCAGTGCTGCAGGTGACTGCAGTGGCTCCAGGCACCAGCCCTGGGAGCGTGGGAACTTCCTGCCGCCCTGTTTGTCTTGGGCGGTTCGGAGGGGCCGACACCCTCTGTCAGCTCCAGCAAGCTCCTGCCAGGTCACCCAGAGTGAAAGAGAGAAATTGTTCCCATGACCTTTGCTTTCCTTGTCAAAGGTGATTTCGGCAAGCACCGCCCCTCTTCCCTAAAGGCCAGGCCAGCCATGGTCCCCCGCTCCCGAAGGGGCTGAAGGGGCCACTTGTGCACGGGGGGCAGCGGGGCCCTGGGGGAACCTACAACCCATCTGTCCTGTCAGCAGGTATGTGGCCCACACTCCTCCATCCCTACCCCTGGGCTAGCAGCCATCCGGGTTTCCTCGCCTGTCCCAGGAACCCCTACCACTTCCCTGGTGCTCATCCCCGCTGTGTCCCCCAGGTCCCAGCACAGCACCCGGCCCAGGAAAGGTGCACCCACCCTGCCACCCACCAGAGCGAGGCACCCTCTCCTCCTCCCATCACCACCCCGCCTGCAGCCCCGGGAGCCGGTCCTCACTGCTGGTCTCTGGAGGTGGGCCACAGGGCTCTCCACAATCGGAAATGCTTTCTCCACCCAGTTTTCATCTCTGTGCCTTAGCCTCCTCTGCCCTCCGGTCATGGGGCCAGCCCACTACTTACTGCCCACCTTCCCTGCTTTGGCATGGCTGGTGGCCCCAGGGGTGACCTCGGGAGCTATGGAAGCTTCAGTAGATCAGCGAGGCGGTGGCCGCTGCAGGCAGCACAGCTGGGGTTAAGGGCAGCCTTGGATCAAAGACTCTTCATTTCCGATTTTCCAGAAGACGCCGATTATTAATGATCATTGTTCTTTCCTTCTGGGGCATGAAACAGCAGGTTTAACTCACAACCGGAAAAGCGGCAGGTCAAGGTTCCCAGAGGATGAAATGTCAGCCTCCAGCGGCAATGACATTCACCCAGAGGCACTAAAAATAGACGCAGGAACAGAAGCATTAGGTCTCTGGAGGCTGGAGAAACAAGGTGAGCTCAGGGCAGCAACAACGCTCGCCGATTACGTTGGCCCCATGGCAAGGCAAGGGCTTTACTTTTGGTTTTTTTTCTTAAGAGACAAAAAGAAAGTAAACTTGAGAAGGGTCAGCCCAGAAGGACTTTGCTCTTTTAAGTATGACCTTGCCACCTGTAAACTTCAAAAGGAGACAAAACCTGTAGGTGAGATGTGACCAGGGCAAATCTGGGGTGAGGCAGGACTCACCCCCACGTGGCCCAAGGAGGGCAGAGGATTCATTCTGCTCCCTGGTACGATGGATGGGCCATGGGGGTCTGACTGAGGCCGGCACAGTCCAAGAGAACTTTCATGAAGATGGAAATGCTCTTTATCTGCTCTGCCCAACATGGAGTCACTGGCCACACATTGAAATGTGACTTTTGCGATTGAGCAACAGAATTATTCATTTCATTTTATTTTCATTGATTTAGATTTAAATAGCCATATTTAAATGGCGGCTAGTGGCTATCCTATTGGACAGCACAGTTTGGGCGTTTAGGAGAAGGAGAACTGCAGTTGATTAGCAATGTCTGCCAGGGACACAGGATGGGAAGGTAAAGTGCGATGAATACTGCGTTACTGAATGACCAGGGGACCTGGTGCGACCTGGGTCATCTGAGCCCTCACTCATCGATTCTGGTGCCTGCACAGTTTTAGCATTTAGGAGAAAGAATGTCTGTGAAGTTTAGGGCCACATACCTCTTCCCGTCCTTTAGTCTCATGGTTTTTACTCCCGGTAATTTCAGGTCTCCTAACCTTGCGGGATCTCATTTCGAATACATTCTCCACACAGCAGCCAGAAGGTCCTTCTAAAATACCAACCCAACCATGTTCTACCTTGCTCAAAACCCCAAGCCTAGTCTCCCCACCAAGGATACCCAGACCCTTCCCTACTGGCCTCTGGTCTCATCCACTTCATGCTTCTCAACCTCCCCTCCAGCACAGACCCCACTGATGCTGGCTGCTTCATTTTCAGCCCCACTCCGCAGGAAGCCCCAAAGGCAAAGCCACCTCTTACCCTGTCTTGGTGCCCCCACCCCCAACCCTCAAAGCACCATCTGAAGAGCTCCCACTGGAAGCCTCACATGATTCTAGGAATTCCCATGGGTATTTTCTTATTTTGCCCTCAAAATAATAAGAGAAGTACCATTAACGCCCTGTTTCGCAGATGAGGAAACTGAAGCTTAAAGAAGGGGAGGGTTTGGCCAACGGCTGGAAGGAAAATGGCAGACCTGAGATTCGGCCTGGGTGGGTGTTGCTCTCAAACCTCGCCTTCTGCACAGAGCACAGTGCTCCACACAGCGGCTGCGCTGAGAATGGAAACCTGGTCACAGGATGCCTAGTCCAGTATTTCGTCTCCTACTAATTCAGTACATTAGGTGAAGAAAGGGATGGGAGGATGAATGGATGAGTGGATGGATGAATGGAGCAGATCGATGGAGAGATAACCAGACAGAATGGTAGGTGGATGGATGGTAGATGGATGGATAACTGGATGGGTGGATGGATGGGTTGCTATACAGGTGGACGGATGGATGGACAGATGGCTGCATGCATAAATAAATAAATGAGTGAACGGGCAACAAAACATGGTAAGAAGTAAAGTAAAAGGTCTTATGACTAGGGACGTGGATGAGATAATGGTCCACCTTTTTCTTAACTATTTCTCAGGTTTATAAAAAAATGAAGTCATGCAAAAAAAATATATATATATATATATTCTTTGAGGCTTTTGTTTGTAAAGAGATACAGTACATGGTAAGTTGTGTGCATATCAAGAAAGCCCTGGGCTGTGCAAGGGCCTGCTCGCCCGTGTCCTTGTCCCCTGCCACCCCCTCCCCTGCTGGCTCGCTCAGCTCCTCCCTAATGCCACTTTCCCATGGGAAGGCCGACAAAACAATAGCAATTTCTTCTGAATGGAGCGCTCCCCTGAGCCAAAAAGTAAACATGCGCGAGGGGGGAAGAGCCCACGATGGAGTGCGAGGCGTCCGTGATTACCGTCCGTGATTACATAACCAGGCCATACCTGGGAGAGGCACTGATCCAGAGGATTTTAACAGGCCAAGGGGGGCTGGGTGGGCGGAGGGCGGGGGCACGCCCAGCGCAGGAATGGCTGTGCAGGGAGCTGGCCTTGCTGGGAGCCGGAGCCAGGTTTGTCCAGGAGTGAAGAAGGGCTGGAAGAAACTCAAGTGTCCCTGACTGAGGCCATTCGGACACATCCATCGGCCCTTGCATGGCTGTTCTGCTTAATCTTCACTCTAGCACTAGGGATAAGCACTATCATGTTCCCTTTTATAGATAAAAAATAGAAATGAGACACAGAGAGGTGCCGTCCTGAACCAAAGTCACACAGCTGCTGTGGGCGGAGCTGGGAATGCGAGCCTGGGGTTGACCAAGCTGTGCCGCCTCCCCCACCATCCTTCTCTCTCCCTCTCTCCCTGTCCTCCCTCCCTCCCATGAAATCATATATCCATTTATTCTTTTAACTTTCCATCCATCCACCCACTCAACCCCGCAGCGGGTTTTCCCCACCCTCAGTACTGGACCTGCCTGTAAAAGAGTTGGTCTCTGATGACGAGGTGAGGTCAGTATCAGTATCAGTATCCATCTGCAATTGTATCCATCCATGATTGTAAAGCTTTATGTGTCGGGTCCTGTCTGTGTGTGGAGGGCACAGAAGGAGCTTTACAGTGGTTTTCTGGCTTTATCTGTGAGGCAGCCCCCAGACCAGGACCTCCCCGCTGTGGCAGAAGAACACACTGAGGTCCACAGAGGCTCTGGAGCCTCAGCCTGGGGACTTGGGGTCTGGGGGAGCCTCAGCCCCCGTTGGGTCCGGGGGGAGTTCTCTGAGAGGAGGTGGGACGTGTAGGGGCATTTTGTAGTGGGAGGGGAGGTGGTGGGAGGATGGGGCTGAGGCTAGCCTGGTTGCCCCAACAGACCTGGCAGCTGCCAGCCTCGGGGTTACCGGGGCCAGGGGGCTGGGAAAGCCCCGGGGACACCAGGCAGAGCCTTGGCCAGGCTGAGGACAGGCAGCCCAGAGAAGGAGACTCAGTCCCCGAGCATGGTTGAGTCAGACCGCCCCCTTCTCTGAGTGACCTTGGGGAAGGGGGGCGGGAGGCAGGGCTTCCCTTGCAGGCAGCGGGAGGCCAGGCCAGGGCCACGTCTGGGTGGCAAGCATCCAGTGGCCTCCAGTGGCCCCAAAGGTCTGCCTGCTGTTGGCACCAATCAGGTGCACTGGGTGGACAGATGGCTCTCTGCGCAGGATGGCAAGTCGCTCACAGACGAGAGGAACAAGCCCTGGGCACAGTCCTACCTGCACCAGGCATGCCTCCAGGGCATAAACTTTGGGTAAGAAGCTACGATGTGTAGAGACCTTACCTTACATGCTTAACTTGAATTGCCAAAACAATCTCAGTGTTCGTATTCTTGTCTTACATAGGAAGAGCCTGGGGCTCAGAGAGGTCAATGGCTGTCCCAAGGCCACACAGCTAATGAGATGAGGGAGTTAGAGTTTGAACCCAGGTCTATCTGACCCTAAATGGTTATTTCTAATAAATATGCTATCCCTACGCCTTAGTGTTTTCATCTACTGAGTACAGATAATCACACAATTCAAGAAATAGCATCATCCCACACTCTGTGACCAATATGGCAGCCTGTGTGGCCTTATTTATTCATGGATATTTGGCTGGGTCAGTGAAGGGACAGGTGGATGGACAACTGAACAGACATATGGATAGACAGTTGGATAAATGAGTGTCACATTTGTGAGTGAGAAAATGGAGGGATGGTAGATGGATGGATGGATGGATGGATGGATGGATGGATGGATGGATGGATGGATGGATGGACCTTTGAATGGATGAGTCAGCAGATGGATAAATAAGATAAGTAAGCAATAAATTCATTAATGAACTAAACAAAAGGCTGCATTGAGGACCAAAATGAAGAAGGCTGGATGGAGAGATAGACTGAAAATTAGGTGGATGAGTGGGTGGGTAGACCCCTCCTGATCTAACTCGAGTTGCACAAGAGACTCTCTCAAACACCCCAAGCTGTCCATCCCCAGCTGAGGCCCAGCTCTGTGGTCTGAGTACTGTCTGGGGATTTTCAGAGTCGCCTTATAGAGCCAGTGTCCCCTCTGCGGTGCTAACAACTCTGGCAGAAGGAAGGTGAGCGGGGCCAAGGCGTGGGGCTTCTCTTCCTCTTCTCAACCGCGCCAAGTCCGGGCTCCTGAGTCCCAGCTACGAGCAGAACAGCCTCTGTTGTCTCCCCTCCACGCCCACCCCTCCCTTCCACCCCCCCATCTCCCCTCCCCTCCTCTGAGGCTGGCTGGCTGCTGGTTTACCGTTTTCTCTCCACTAAAGAAGCTGGAGGGAGAGTCCTGGCCTGACACTGACCTGCCATGTGTCCCTGGAGGACACTGCCCGTCTCAGGGACTCCGTTACAGGGAGGTAATCAGACAGGAGTGAAAATACAGGTAGATACATGTGCGGTTGCTCTCTTGCGGCCAGTGGAGCCCCGGAGGCCCTCACGGTCACCCTGACCACAGCCCCTGATGTTGCTGCTCAGAGCCCAGGGCTCTCTGGACCTACTGGCTGGGAACATCTACAAGGGTCCTTCTCAGCTTCAGCAGACTGAGATTCTGGCCGTGAAAAGCAAGTCACCACAGACTACCAGGGAAAGGCAGCTGGGAAGAGGGAAGACGCTTGGTTTGTCTGGGCTCCTAACCTCACCTGGCCGAAGGTGTCTCCTTGGACATGCGCTGGGCCAGGCTCCGCCCTTCAACCAGGAACCACACTCCCATCCCTCCCCTGAGCCCATTTGGGAAGCCAGCGTGGGTTGGGAACTTGGTGGCTTTTATCGGGCAAGAGTCTGGGCGGCCCTGGGCCCAGCAGGCTGGGGGCCTGTGGAAGGAGCAGAGGGATCATGTGTGCCACAGAGTGAGGGTGCCCGTGGGAGCAGGACACCCCAGGAAATCCGA